ACTTTAATCGACGATCTTGCCTGTTCACAGACAAACTTGTTAGTGGCAAGATTCGTCTGTGTAGGTAGCACAATGTTTCCATTGAAAAAAAAAACCACTATGCAGGGTATGTTTATATAATGCAATGTCCGTGGTAAATATTGCATTTAAACCAAAATATCCGTCAGAATTGATTTGTGGTTTACAAAGTGTAACAGTTGCCCACAGGTACGATAAAATATGGTTGGTGGCATTTTCTGATAAGGTCATTGGGGCTATAAATACGCTGGAGTTTTATGTTGGTAGCATTTTCTGACACGATAGCCGATATCGATAAACACAGCACTACCGTGAGAATGTCAGCAAGGTATGATAGAAACCGAGAAATATCCAGTTAAAAGCAAAATTCATCATCATTTAACGCAACTATACGATAGAGAACCCAGGTTACAACAGATTTAAACACCGTAATTTAGTGTATTGTAAGCAGTAGTCGAGCATCCACTTTTAAGACCAATTTCGTAACCCGTACAGAGGAGCTGTTACGCACAGCGGCTGCGTGCATAATGAGGAGCTTCTGGGCCCCGACTGCATTTATAATGTGATAAGTATGCTGACTAGGAAGCTAAATTGGATAGAGCAGAATATCTATCTTTCTTTTTATTTTATTCGGTGTATGTAACCAAACTAAGGCGTCTTCCGTTATCATTGGGAATCCATGGATTAATAAGAACAACAATAATGATAATGAAGACCAAGATTTTCAAAATAAAGGAAATCGTGACCCCCAAGATAAGACTGGCAAAGAGTCTAGGTCAGTCTGTGAACCAGGTTTATCAAAGGAACTTATTTACATTAGAGTACCTGACATCAGACGGGGGGGGGCGGTTGTACCCCCAAATATCCGCCCCCCTCCCCCTTTGCCTTTATAGTATTACTTTGTGCCCCCCCCAATATCAGGCTCTCTCTATGCCTCTGCCCCCTACTTTATTGATTTGCTGACAGTTCAGCTGCCTCTTCTTGAATTGACTCTTAAAAAGCCACGTCTTTCCAGAAATAACACACAAGGTGCTGTAGACGTATCATAACCTTAATTAGCCCTGCGTCCTTTGATTAATCCAGGAGATATAATGAATTAATTACAATGGAATTGAAAAGCTTCCATTATTATCACCATCTGCTATATACTTCAGAAAACAAATGGGCTGGTAATGAAAGAGTCATTAACACAAATCAACAGAAAAATGTATTCGTAATCGCTTAAGTGGGTGATGGACCTTAATCTCTACCTCTCATTACAACTTCGGCCAAAACATTAAGCTATTGTCTGGGAACCTCTATCTCAGAGGGATTACGAATGAAATCAGACACAGTCAGACATAAATCAGATCCAGATGTACTCTCATTAACCTTGCACGTCAATCAGAAGCCCTTAATCGGGCACATGCACATTTGAGGAGTCTTTATAAGTACCGACCTGTTTCAAGGGCGCTGTGACTGAAAATAAGGTGAATATCAAATCAAAAGTTTCGTATGAGTGTGTGACATCTAATGAACTGGTATTCCATCCAGAGCACCCACTACCATCCTTATTTTTAGGGGAAGCGTGTGTGTGTGTGTGGGGGGGGGGTCTCATCAACTTATTTCTATTAACTGCAGAAAATATGAAAATATGTTTTTCAGTTGCACAGTTATGTCTGTGATGTCCTGATTGTGTGTTTAGCGTAAATAGTTATAGGAAAAATATATTCTAGTAATTTCTAATCTTTGACTCAAAAACAAATCAGATACTTTATGATGTATTATTTTTGCTTTTTATACTAATACACTCTTTTGTAATCATACTGCATAATGGGCAGGTCAGCAAAACAACTGTATTCTGTGGTTTTATATTAGCTGCTAAACAACTTAATGAATTCATTCATATTGAAAGACACCTGGAGTCGTGTTTTTTTCCCAAAGACAATGGGAGTGACACTGAATGTCATTACACAAAGCTTACATTATGTTACATCTTAGTTGAAAAGCATCTCTTGCATTTCTGCAATTGGAAAACAATTGTGGTAAACAGACTGGTGGACATGAGTGAATGTCTTTGCTGTAAGCATGGAAGTTGACATCATTCAGAGCCCAGAACGTAAACGGGTGGCGTCCACAAGCAGACACATCTGTCAACGCCGAGAACTTCAGTGCCTGCATTCCCCGTTGTATTCGATGGCCTAAATTTCACCAGATGAGAATAATTTCACCCTCTGTTGAATAAAGAAAATGTTATTCTCTCCAAGGAGAATTTCACAGAAGAAGTGGCAAGGTAGAAATGGGGAAACATGACTGGAAGCACCATCAGGATTGAGAAAGGGTGGAGTTCCGTGTCCTGAAATTCAGAGGGTCTCAGCGCGGCTTATAGTATCCAAAGCTGGGTTTTTGTGTTTTTTGATGCCCGGCATAGACAGACCTCGGAATAAATATGCCAGGAATCCATCACCGGTGAAACTGCATTCCTGTTATTAAATCCATTGAATTCAGCCCTTCTGTTGTTTGGCATTTCACATATGTAAATATATACATATATAAATCATTTTTTTCCATCAAATTCCCTGTCTGTTCAAATTTTTGATTATCCTATTGCCCTCCCTCTTATTCAGTCCATTCACGACATGAAATTGCCGCTGTCTCCATGCTGATTGACAGCGCTTGGCCATACTGGGGTTGCTAATAGTTCCAAATGGCGGCTAAACTAATTGAATTGATGAGATTGGGGACAACGGGATTAGTAAGTGGAGATGTCGATCTCGTGTCACGCAGGTGGAAGCGCGGAGGAGGAAAAAATTAAACGGGTCGTCTGCAAATTTCGTGGATTTTTTTTAAAGCAGTATCTTTGTGACTCTTTGGGGAGTGTGATATAATAATCTGTGAAAGTAACGCTTTAAGACTTGAATGCAGCATAACCCTGAAGTGTAAGAAGGGTATTTCAAGGATGTTTTAGACCAGGATTTTAGGGGAATCAAGCTGGTTTTGGTTATAATTGAACTCGTATTTATTTAGGCTTGATGGTGTAGGTTGTCCCCCTTGTTCTTCCTGTCACATTTTGTGAAGGCCTTTGTTAGTTCTTTTGGCCTCAGTTGACATCAAAAGCAAAGGCGTTTTTGTTTGTATTTCCATGCATCCATTTTCCATATAATTTGACCAGTGCAGGACCATGCTAATCTTTAAAGGGGGTCTTTAAGGGGACATCTCCTTAAAGATGTAGCCGCCTGATAGATCTCTGTAATTTGAGCTAGAACTTTCTGGTTGTAATTCCGGGGCTTAAACCAGTCCACAGCCACTGCTTCCTCCCCGCCTCCTTACAGGCCTTGAACATTTTTCTTATCCACCATGACACTCCCCCATCAAGGATGTTAATAGCTATCGAGCTCAAGTTAATGGGCAGAGTGATGCATAGAGGAAGGACAAGAAAAGGGTTTCTAACCCAAATGGTGCCAGTGCACGTCCTCAGAGAGCTGCCACGTGACAAATCGCCCATGGTTCGAGACAGATGTCTCCCCCTGAAAAATGGCCGCCCCCCATGCCAATGGCACGCTGTGCATATCGAGCCACGGCGGCAACTGAAGCCTTAAAAAGGCGCAGCGCCGATATTAGCGTCTAGTCACAAAGATCATCCATCTGCATCCACCCACCAAAGACCCCCTGCTGCGTGATGAGTGTTTTGTCCTTTCCTTTATTCCTGTCTCCATTTACAAAATAAAATGCATCGCTTCATTAGCCCAATTGAAATGGTCCTGGGGGTTGAGCCTGTTGACTTCTCCTGATGTATAGCAGGCCTGCAGCTTCAGCTTGGCTAACTCTGCCAAGGACGCGGGCAGAAAGGCCTGCTGGGTCCAAAGCACTGCTTTCAAGACCAAACCATGGCACGGCAGGACCCTAGAAACACCACCTTTTCTGCTCTCCACAAGTCCCATGAAATCCCATCCTTCCAAGAGATCAGATTTATTGTTGAGTGCTTTTCATGTTATTATGAATGATTCCGGTGGGGGTGGAGGGGAGCCTATAGTTTATACTATATACAGTGTACATGTGTGGTTGATGAATGTATGAAATGTGCAGGAATGCATGTCAGAGCAAGGAATTAACTCGGTTTTTGTCATTTTTCAAACCCCATTGTCTTTAAATGCGTTCAAAAGCTTGCAGTGACAGTCTCATTGCAAGTGTCGCACAATTCCGGTTACTGTGGTGTTCCAGGATTATTTGGGGCGTGCAGCCGTGTTTGAAGGTGGCGTACAGTTTTTCGGTTTGGGAAAGCAAAAAACCCTGCTGCTCTGGCCCACTCTCACCACTCGAGAGCTACTTCACTTTTGACCCACTACCCATCTCTCAAATCCTAATGCGAGCCACTGAACAGAGGACCTTCTGAAACAGTATGTTTTGCACCTTGAATGTCGATATAATTCTATGTGACATTATGGAGACACACCAGTAGGGGGCAGTCTCTGGATTTTCAAATCCATCCCTATGTGGGGCAACCTTTTTGTCATCAATCTTAGACGGACGTTTTTGCTAATATCCTTCCCTTGGCACCAGGCAAAACAAACGCCCTGACTTACACTCACAGCCCTCTGGTTGCCACATAGCCGTTACGTCTGCGCCCAGGCAGCTCACTGACTCCTGCCAGCTGCGATACATCGTGCTGTATCTGCTGGATGTACCATGCACACTCCACAGGTCGCGGCCCTGGGCCAATTTCTGCTGCAAAGGAAACATCCGCCGGGCTTTAATCTCAATATTTCCCTGGCATCTGCTGATTGATAAAGCTAAGCAGGAGCTCCAGGAGGACAGGAAATCTGCGCAGACACATTTTCGAAGCTCAAATTTCAGTCAAGGCCTAAGTTAAAAAAAAAAAAAAAGATGCAGATAAAAATAGTGACCTTGGCTGTCAAAGTGATTGTCAGCTATATATATTCCACATGTATTACGTGAGGGGGGGCTTGCTTGTTTGAATAGCAGCCTTGTCGTGCAAGATTAGAGTCCCATTTATCAATTCCACGTTTGTCTGTGGTGGTTTTAAAGACTGCGCTCTGCAGAACAGTATCTCTGGAGACCAGACAGCAGCAACATCCGGGACAACCTGGACCAATACAACAAGATGGGGGGGTGAGCATTTTCTGGGAGTGGAGTACTACTGTATATTGCATTTATGCCTTTCATGAGAAAAAAGTCACAGTGGTAGGATCATGGCTGTATGATCTCTGTGAAATTAATGATAGACTCTTTATTTTGCTACCTTGAACCCAGATCTTCTATGATTTAATACCACAAAACAGTCACTAGAACCTTATTATGTCCATTTATTTTTATTTCTTATTATATCCATTTAGGCTGACCTTTTACAGTTTGAGGTACTTCTACAAAGAATATTCTCTGCTGGCAAGCTAACGAATCGCAACAGTATATATTTTCCCGACAGAGGGGGATTGAAAGTTGTGTCATGATCGACTAGAAATGTCGACCGGTTGGTGACAACTGATTTAGGCTATGAACGTTGGGTGACAATTAGCAAACAATTCCCAAAATTGCTTAATTTTTCAATCCACTGATTCCGAGAGCCGATTGGGTCGACTTACAAACACGACACGCAGCGCTTGGCCGCACGGTTCTCAAGCCCCCTTAGGCTTTTCATCCGGACGGCACCTATTCTGCTTATCCTCACAACTGGTGCTGTCACTCAGCGTGCTTATCCGCTTTGCCAGCAGATGGGGCTAGAAGGACTGTTTCCAATACAGAACAGGAGGCACCCAAATTAACCCTTCCCGGTCAAATTATCGACAAGGACAATATGGACCATCCGCATGTTTAATTATAATGCTGGCACCAGCCCTTTGGACCCAGTGTGCATACAGAGTTTTGAACTGCCTGGGATTTTAATCACTTTAGCTTGGTCAGCTTTTAGAAAATGTCTAGTAATAAGTTTATAGATTTGAGATGTTTCATTTTTTTTTTTAAAGTCCAATAGGTATCTAATGACAAGAAACTCACACGGATTCATCACATTAAATGAGGTATCGATTCATGTGCCCTCAAATCCAAATTTTTGAATTATACCAATATACTAATCCTTTAATTATTACATTCAACAAGGATTAGTTAGAACAGTTAAAATATCACATCCTTAAATTTGTTCTTCATCCTAAACTTTATTCATTTAGAAGACACAAACAAACGAAACCTTTGTTTTTACGTCATTGGTTTAGCACCCTTCTTATTAGTACAATGAATTCTTGAGCAAAGACTTTATAAGGATTAATATGTATGTCAGATCGAAGCCAGAATTCACTAAATCAAGGCACCTTAATTAGGGAGGAGGCTGTTGGAAGCAAAACCATGGGCCAGGATATGGAAACACTAGTTTAGGCTGAGGAGGACATCAAGATAATAAGGCACATTCTGGAGATGGAAATGTATTTATGGCAGTGGCCATGAGCAGAGATACTTAAGACCTGAGCAGCTTTATCTGCAGCAATGATGTAACACCACAATGAAGGCTGCCTAATTTATAGTGCAGCAAATGTATGACTAATGCATCTCAAAACTATTTTCAGACCTCAGACCGAGAGGTTGTTTGTCTTGGGTCTTTAGAAAAAAGGTCAGGTTGTTTTTCCATTACGGTCAGCTGTATCTATTTTGCATTGACTCTTTCTTCTGGGGAACACAGCAAAAGGCTACCGGCCGCCAATCCCACCCCCACCCGTCCCGTTAGAGTTCAAAGCACAAAATGACACCTCCCTCGCAAACACAAGGGGATCGGGTGTCCCTCTTTGTTTGACATACACCTTTAGAAGTGATGATTACAGGGGCTTGACCTTTTTATCCCCCTCCCCAGCTCTCACAAAAACACCTCAGTAGATATTCTTCACAAAAAACAAAAAAAACACAGAGACCCGATCTTGAAGCCCCTCAGGACAGAGCCTCGCCCACTTTCCCGGCCACGCTCGAGGAATGTGGAATTTGGCCTTGCCGGGACGAGGCCTACTGCTTGCCACCAAACAGGAGACGAGATCCATCTCGTCTGCTCTTCACTGTTGACATGGAAACCACGAGAGTGGATCGCCCCAAAGTGAGGCCATGTCTACCTGTCAAATCAGCCCCCCCCCCCCCCGCATATATCACAAGAGTGTTCTGGGGTTGCACGTTACGAGAGAGTCTTTGCAACTCGTGTAACTTTCACAAATCTGCCAAGAAAATGGTAGAGGATCGCGAACTTGTACCGCGGCCTCTAATAGTCCTCACTTTTACGTACCCATGGATCTCACCGTTCACATTTAAATTTGACATACGTGGCGGCATTTTGTGGCCCTGCTTCCCACCAAGCAACTGACAGTATCAAGAGCTAAATAATAAAGTTCTCCAAAACATAAAATTAAATGTTAAGGACGTGCCTCAACATGTTTTTGTGGGGCATTTGCTACCTTCACCATTTCCTGTTTGGCATCAAATAAATGCTCAAGATGCTCGGTTTTCTATACTGCATTAGATGTACTCTGACTAGGTTAGCTGCATAAATAATTTAGTATATGCAAACTATACATACAAGCTTCTTTGTCAGTAATTCCCAAGACTGTTGAGTTCCACCACTCATCCGTGGAGTGAAAGCATTAGGCATACTGAAAACAAACATAGAATTGCAATACCTTTTCCGTCTCAAAACAACTAGAGAATTCCATGTTTGTGGAGGTTTTCACCTACGGTTAGACACCTTGGTTGCCCCTTGAGTGTTTGCCCATTGATGGCCCTGCCTCCTGTCCCAGGCCTCCTCAGCCTAGTATTATACGCCTCCTTGCATAGGTTCTCGACTTTACTGGGTCCTTGTACTGGATAAGTAGGATGGATGAATAGATAGAGAAGTTGTGAGCCTTTTTTACTAAGAATTATGCGTTGTTGAGTGTATAAACTTGATACCTCTTTGCTGCAGTATCATAAAAAGTTAATAGTTAAATCCTGGAAACTGAATAATAGCTTTCAAATTACAGCCAATGTCTTTGGTAACATGGTCCTTCATAGAGAGTTACAAAGCTCAGTGGTAGAGCAGTGGTGACACTTTGAAAAGCTACACAAAACAAGCTCTAAACAAGCTGCAGCGACGTGTCCCGTCCTGCCCGCATTCCTAGCCAGAGAGGCAACCTATGGAAAATTCCGCCAGAGAAAATGACAGGGAAAACGCAGAGAGACAGAAGAAAAGAACAGAGACTATCTGCTCATGTCACTGGTGACGCAACATTTTGTGCGAACGAGCCGCTGTTGTACTTAGTTTGATTTTCGTTAGTTACTCGGGGAACCTGAAAGCTGATGGACGATTCATTATTTTTCTCAGACGAGAAGTAGCAGGAAATGAGGGATCCCTTGCTACTGTCAACTTTTCTGTCCAGAAAGAAACAGCGTCTGTAAATGAAGCTTAGAAACACACACAGAAATGTAGATTTATTAAAGTACAGTGATTGTGTCTTCTAAATGAGTATGGTTTGCTGGTAATGTTGTTGCAGACGAAAAGCTAAATAGCAGAGAACAATTTTCTCCAGCAATAATGTGATACATGCATAAATAAGTCAGAGAACATTAGCTATCAAAGGATAGATGTTTAGTCCCAGTTATGAATGTTTGCAGGGAATTTGTCCATTTCCAGAGAACATAAAAGTGTTCTTTTGTCTATCCTATCCCCATTCTTACAGCCCTTCCTGTGCCCCACAAGTGAGTGAAGCTGAACTGCGAAACTGCAGCCAGTGGATTGCACTGGAGCATGATGTTATGACTGAAACTGAGCAAACAGACACAAACGCTAACATTTCCTTGACAGCTGACACGTCTGTTTGCTTGGAGATCTAGAGCAACAGGCTTGTGCCCATCTACTAAGGCCAGAATCAGGGTGCATGAAAGACAACAGGCAGGTGCTGGAACATGGAGATTGCAATACTTGTTCCACTGAAAGACTTCATCATGTGACATTGTATGACAACAAACAGATGTCATTATAGACCTGACGTGTAAGATTACGCTGTATGTGGTGTTCCTTACATATCATATCGTGTTACGTCCTGCTCAGAATATGAAATCCGCCGTGACACCAGTTCATTGGCGTAGCCCCGTGGCGACAGCAAAATGGTAGAAATGGCCATTTTTAAATGAAAATAGGCATCCAGTTTGCTTAGCCTGCCTATATTATAGGCTTGACACCACAAGCTAGCCTTAAGGCACGCCACGCTCCAGCGAGGCCACGAGGAAGCATCTGCAAACCGTACGAACGGATCCAGCAGGTCGGGACCCGTCTTGGCTGTTGAGCACAACTGCTTCCTCCCCTGAGCACAGCCACTGATGCCTTGAGATGAACATCAGCCTTATTGTCCACCTTAAACCCCATCATTCCACAATGCACCTGAAAGTCATACACTTTGATTTCCTCCCAAAGCCCAAAAACATGCAGTTGCAAGTGAATCGGTCACTGTAAATTGTGCAAAGTCTGTGATTCTGTGTGTACACAGTGCTCACAGTCTAGGGATGTTTGCTGAATTTTGTAATAATGTTACAAATGTAATGGTTTCACAACAAAAGTCCACTGACAAGCAATGTTTAACGTATCTGCACATATCTTCCGCACAGACATTTTCTTTTTATGTTGATAATTTTTGGACTGACTCACTCAGTTCTGTTCTTGAAATTTTGCTATTAATTGCAATTGTAGTCACTGGCTGCCAAAGGGACACTAAATGCAAATGTCTGGTGTTTTATGTTATTGCAAAGGTGTCAATAATTAAAAAGCACCCAGTGGGACTGCTTGTCAATTAACTTTTGAACAGCTGTTTTAGAACTATAATTTTGGTTTCAATTTATTACTAGTTAAAATGAATCATACTGAAAACTGCTGATTGTTTCTAATGTGATCTATATAATTTTTTGTAAACAAATCAATGAAGTAATGATTTTTGCTATAAAACCAATAAATCTGCAATATTTTTACTGAATTAAGCAAATGTCCCAAGACTTTCTGTGAGTACTGCATGCCTGTGTGCCCACTGACATTCTGTCCAGGGTGTCCCTTGCCGGAACAGAAAAAAAACATATACATATGTCCTCTCTATCTCTACATTCGGTCACTGAATGGAGACTTACAGTACTCCTGTGATCTGCTGGCACCTCACCCAGAATGCACCTTGTTTTGTGTCCCGTGTGCAGGGCAGCATCTCAAATGGATGGATGGATGGAAACAATGGGCCAGATAAGGAAGGCATTTAGAGGGAATTTTCCTAACGGCTTTTGTAAGTCCCTTATTTGTGTAGTTCAAGCAGGATGCTTCTGACAAACGTGTAAAAGCAGTTTTTTTTTTTAAAAAAAACCAGAAAAATCCCATTACTAATCTCCAAAAAAGTTAATTTAATAAGATGGCCACTTAAAGAGTTTGCACCCTTAACATTTTATAGTGTGCCTCATAATTCCTTTGTGTTTGCAGTGACCTGGTTCTTGAGAAGAAAATTATATAAATATGGCAAACTGGGTAGCCGTTTACAGCCGATAGGATGGAGCCTGTTTTGTTGTTGTTACATCCTGCGCTGTGTCTCCATGTAAACACTGACGGTGTTTTCTAGTTTGTTTTTTCACCATCTGGCCAAAAGATTTTGTGATTTGTGTGTTTGCCTGAGCAGCTGGCAGGTCAGGTATACATTCATTAATGGAAGCCTGGCTTCCGGAGGTGTGGGGGACATTTACAAGTTTTTAGCGAAATTCAGCCAATCAGTTAATTGGCCATGGTATGAATTTGGTCTCCGGGGCTGGACAACAGATCCCGGAGACATGGATACTGGGCGATTCTATTGGTGCCCTCAGGACACAAACGATTAGGCGAGTAAAGTAAACACAGAAGAAGCATCAGAATTGTAAACGCCTCAGTTCTTCAGTTGAGGCTGAGTACTATAAGTTTGCCTTGAAACATATCAGGTAATGGACTGGAAACTGCATAAAAAGCAATGTACAAACCACTGTCCTATAACATCATAGTGACCATTTGACGCACATGGACTCTACTTTCAGTCTAATACATCATTCTTGATTTTTTGTGATTATTAATTCCACTCCAAGAAGAAATGTCCCCACCAACATGGCCTGCAAGCCTGGGATAGGGTGACCACCTCATCCATGTCAGGAGGGAGACTACGAGCTACGACAGGGTTTTGTAAACTACCATTTCCACCATTTCTATTAAATGGACCTGGATTTCATTTGAGCCCTGGGTTCTTGTTGTGTGCTGATTGGTCAGTCTCCTATAATCATGCATGTGTCACTAATGTTAATGTGGACCAGCTGGATGGGTCTTCCAATCAAGGAAACCAAATTAGTCAAGGCGCAAGAAGAATTGAACTATTGAGCCAAGCACAGAACCATTTCAGTTTTAAAGTATTTTGTAAAACCTGAAGTAGTTCATAGTCTCCCTCCTGGCATGGATTAGCTGGACCTTAGCCTGGGCAAATAAATGACTCTGTTTCACCCATGAACCCAAGCTAAATGAGTCTCTAAACTCAAGAAGGAATGATCCCCCTCAGGCTGCAGGGGACACTTTCAGCCTCAGACAGCTGGCCCGTATGTACCTGACCTTTTCGGGGGGGGAAACCAGGGTATATCCTCTGGATGAATTTCATGGGACCTCGAAGAGCCCTATCACTGGTAAACAGGACAATTAAGTCAGCAGAGGTTGTTCCAGGGTTTGTACTAAAGTGGGGGAAAAGATACAGGTATATGCAAGATGCAGTGCTCTCATTTGCTGTTGCGACTGTTTCCCTGGTTTCATGGTTCGAAACTCTGCCAGCTGACTTCCTCAGTTGGCATCACTGCCCTTCAGATCTGAGAAGGACATGAGAAGCAGCATCCGCAGCGTGAGTCACATGGCTGCCGGCTCTGTCTAACAGCACAATGCTCCTGCTAGCTGCCCAGAGCAGAAGCACCACATGCTTGCCCAATATTGAAGGTGCAGCCCCTCCCCCGCTGCCCTGCCCCCCCCCCATGCCAGGTGTGTGCTGTCGGCTTTAGCTGGACGGTGATGTCCCTTCAGACACAGTGTGACTGATTCCAGGCTTCAGGGTCACTGCAGGCTTGGCTTTAGTTATGTTTCAGCATGTAATCTTTTTATTGAGGTCTTATTGGGACAGCATGTCACCTCGACTGAGGTTTCAGGTATAAATCTAGATCTTTTGGGAATCACTTCTAAAACTGTCAGGGCTCCAGCACCCGCCCTTCTAAAACTGTCAGGGCTCCAGCACCCGCCCGCCCCCCCCCCCCCCCCCCCCCCCCCCCCCCCCCCCCCCGCCCACCGTCTGCCATAAAGCCACCCCCCCCCCCCCCCCGCCCACTCCCCCGCCCACCGTCTGCCATAAAGCCACATTCCACGAACTCCCCCACCTACCCCACCTTGCTGGAACAATAGCAGAGATAGAGGCCTTAATGTCCTTTTCATAGGGCCTCCCCATTTAAACGCCACAACAAACAGCTCCCAAGCATTCATTAATAATTAATAATCAATGATCCTTTTTTTACATTATATCTGACACTCAGGAGTAACCAGTTGCGGATTTCCAGGAATGGGCTTGGACAGCTGATAAGGGACTGGGAGATCTGTACTAACTGGGAAGGCCCCAGATTGCGCAAAGACCTTTGTGTTTCTGGAAAAATTAAGATGTCATCAAGTATTTACCATAAAATTTTAAAGCCTGTGATTAAGTATGTTACATGATACAGTGTAGTTTTCCCAGTATGTGCTTTCCCAGTAGAGCAAACTCTACCCTCTTCCCTCATGTGTCTTGCTTTACTTTGAATCTTTTATACTTCATTCGCCGTTTGCACAGGTACAAATACTATGGTTCCCTCTGTCAAGATTTAAAAAAAAACAGCGAGATGATTCAGGTTTTTTTTTTTTTTTTGGCTTATTGTGCTATTTCCACCAACCAACCAAGCTATAGAATAAAACAGATTTCTAGGCAAGCTCAATTTGTATTCATAAAGTTTCTAACAGGGCATTTCAAATCTAAATACACCTACAGATGACACTGGTTTGAACAGAAATGTTATGGTTGAGCAATAAAATTATAACGTTTCATCATTCTTTGCCCTCAGGAAAGATGACTGCAAATTTGGTCTGAAGAAGTCATTGGTCATACATACTGTCAGCTCTGCTATCTTGTATTTCTTTCCAGCTGTATGATAAAAAAAATCTAGCAGTAATCCTTCCTCAAACATACCCACCATAAGTACCTCTTAGTGGGAGTGAGTGAGTTAACCCGTCTACGGTCTGGCACTTTCACAAGACGCGCCCTGCATTAGATGACGCGAGTGCACAGCTCCCTGCTGAATCGCATGCCGCGGCGCATTCCCGCATTCCAGGCCAGGCAAAGCAGACTGCAGGTCAGGAGGGGTTTGATAGGAAGTGAGAGGTATGGGGTGGACAGCCTTCGTAAAATGTCAGCGTCCTAACGGAGGTGTTCAGGCAGCACCCCAGGTCTACAAAGCCGTTTAATTATATATATATATATATATATATATATATATATATATATATATATATATATATATATATATATAAAAGTTTGGGAACACTTATTTTACTCTTATTTAATGTATCAATTAATCAGAAACCAAGTGTTAATTACATACTGATCCCATGTTCATTCATCATTAATAGATCATAATGTTTCATGCAGTCAGTATATTTGTTCATGATTTGTACTTGAGTCGTAACTTAGTTACTAAGTTGCTTGTGTCCCGTCAAGTGAAGTGTTAGCACAGGTTTTAACAACTAAAGAAATTTTGTGTGAATGTATGTGGAATATGAATGAATTTGTGTATTGCCTGATCTGCAGTGAAGCAGTGCAGGTTTAGCTGATAAAGAGTGATAGCACTTTAGCATTATCGTACAGCTGGAATGTGTGTCCAGGTGCTCCCAGGTGGTATACCATCATATACCATCATATACCATCATATACCCAAGATGGGTCTCATTATATAGCAAG